ATATATATATATATATACACAATTTGATTTAATATATATTTATATATCACAAAATCTGTTAAATAGCTTAATTACAGGGTTGCCACTCCACAGGGAGAAAAGGGAAAACCAGGAAAATACAGGGAATTTAAAAATCCCCTAAAATAACAGGGAATTTTGTTTCTTATTCGTCTCTTAAAAAATGGTGATCTCTCAAAGCGTAATCTATGGGATATTTAACCATGATATTTCAGCTTTACTAAGCTATTTCATTAACTATAGCATTATTTAAGTATGTTCAGCAGTTTTTCCAGCATTTAAAACTAATAAATATAGTCAGTATAATACAGCTCACACAAGAGCACATTGATAGTGTTTCCTCTTAATATATTGTGTATAATATGCACAGAGAAAACACAGGGAATTTTTTTTCCAGATTTGAGTGGCAACCCTGAAAAAGCTTTATGTTTAATTGTATATAGTTTTTGTTTTAATATAGTTTTTGTTTTAATATATTTATATATATATATATACTTGGACCAGATATTTTTTTGTTATTTTTTTATGGCATTGTGTATTTTTTTTAATCTAAATTTTCTCAATGAACATTATTTTCACAAAATCTGTTAAATAGCTTAATTATTATCTATTCTAACTGTTATCAAACTTTAACTTCTTTTATATTAATAAGATATTTTTCTGGAATATTTAATGTGGAAGTAAATTTAACGTTTCACTCTTACTCTTCTATTATCAAGGAATTTCAGTAGTTCCAGAAAATATTTTAGTTGTCGCAACAATTATATGTCAATGTATTTAATAAGTGAATGAACTTTGCCCACCATTATTTAAACTAATTTAATTAAAGTAAATCAGATATACAAATATACACGTTTGTAAGTCACAATATTTTGGGGCATGGAAAATTTGCATTTTTCAGTATAGAGAACTTAAATGTTGCACTTAATCGCTTTACCATTTTATTTTTGATTTAATAAGGTGTATCTAAACAATTAAATTAAATATAGAAAATCTAATGATTGTGCTTTTGAAAGATTTTAGGTTACAGGAACTTAAAACAAAGCGAACTTGACTTCATTGTTATGACTTCTGCACTAGTGACTATTTTTATTTTGTGTTCATTTGTTTTTAAAGAAGAATATTGTTTTACTTAATTAATTTAAATAAGTTGTCACATAATCAGAATTCTATCTCTTAAGTAAGAAGATAGAAAAACTTGTTTTCTTTTCGTAGCGTGAAATAGATAGCATAAGGCTTGGACCAGGAAGAAGTAGCAGTGGTGGTACCAAGACTCCTGCAGGTTCGTTTGATTCTGAGAAAACAGCTCTCACAAACAGGTAATAATTTTTATTTTCTATGTGTTAGTAAATTTTTATTTTCGATATGTTTATACATGTTATCCTAATACTTCTACCTTATTGTTATTACTATATTGAAAGAAAGATAAAAAAGGCTCGTACAAATGCATTGACCCCTGAATTGGCAGCAGTGAAAAAGTTGGACAGATATGAGACAGTATTCATTGCTGAATAAAAAAAAACGCATGAGCTTGTATTTGCTATAGAAGAGAGATTATTTGGTATAACTCTAACGGACATACGAATGCTAGCATTTGAGTTAGCTGAGAGAAGCAATATTAAGCATAATTGTAACACAGGAAAAAAATGGCTGGAAAGTGTGTGTTGTAATCATTTCTTGGCAGACATAAAGAACTTATCCTCCGAAATCCAGAACCCACCAGTATGGCCCGAGCAAAAGAGTTTAATCGCACTGCAGTTAAGCAGTTTTTTGAAATTTTGAATTATCCATTAAGTAATATTTATAATGTTGATGAAACAGGAATTCTAACAGTGCCAAACAAGCCTTCAGAAGTGTTGAGTCTACGAGGCAAAAAGCAAGTAAGTAGCTTGTCTTCACTCGAATGAGGAGTTTTGGTTACTGTTGAAACATGCATCAGTGCAGCTGGGGTGTTCGTCCCTCCTATGTTTGTATTTCCTCAAGTGAAGGAAGATCCAAGACTTATGGATGATGTTTTCCCAGGATCGTTTGAAGTGTATCACAAGACCGGTTGGATCACTAAGAAGACCTTCATTGTTTGGTTTTAAAAGTTAGTAGAATTTTCCAACCTTACCCAGTGCTGCTGCTGCTTGATGGAACCCAACAGTCACACCAAAAGTTTGGAACTTGTAAATTTGTCAAGGGAAAATAATGTAATCATCATAACCTTTCCCCCACATACAACTCATCGCTTTAGCCCCTGGATGTCAGTTTCATGGCTCCACTGAGCACATATCATGAACAAGAAGTTCGGAAGTGGCTGTTCAACCATCCAGGTAGGTGCTTTTCAATTTACGAGGTTACAAAACTGTTCAACGCAGCCTACTCACTGGCAGCCACTGCAGAAACAACCATTAAAGGGTTTAGCAAAACTGTTATCAGTCCCTGCAATCTTGACGTCTGCCCAGATCACCTGATTGCATCGTCCTTCACCACTGATCAAACAGCAAGAACCTCCAGGCGTTGGACACCAGACTGATGTGTGCAGTTTTAGGATTATTATACTCTCTTGTTATTGACCTAAGCTACCCTTTTCTATCCTTCCAAAGTGCGTTCTACCTATACCTCAAGTGAAAGGACCTATGGGATTGTTGTGATGTGTAGGTACACTTAAAATATCAGAAGGTTTACAGGTTAAACATTAAGATTTTATTAACCACATCACAAACATATATGCTATGGCAAAATAATAAAATTAGAGAGAGATAGGACTACACGTCCGTTTGCAATGAGTTTTAGCAGAGAAAGATGCTGTGTTCGGTTCGGATCTCACCAGAGAGATGAATTAGCCACACATTTAATGTGCAATGATTGGCTAGATTTAATTTGAGAAATTATATTATTGGATTAGAATTTTGATAGACAGTAGATTTAAGTTTCAGTTCCCAATTTTGTGTTTCAGTTTCAAATTAAAAGTTTCACTTCGTGAAAATTGTGATTGACGCATAAAGAAAAGGAAAAATAGTTATGGATCACCACAGACCGCTCCAAGAAAAAATGGCTGATAAGAGAAAGAAGAAAACTGTAGTAATAACATCATCTCCATATAAAAGTGGATTATAAATGGAAGAAAACAAAAAGATGAATAAACTACAAGAATGAACCAAGAGAATTGAAGAAAGGACTGCTAAGAAATCCCTCTTGAGAGCACCAGACACATCTCAACAGTGAAAATAATGGAATAAGCATTCATGTTTGAAAACTCATAAAATCTTTAAAAACGTATGTAGCATCATAATTTTTGTGTTCTTAATTATAAAACAACAGTCTATATAAAAAAAGTTAGAAGCAATAAAATCTCATAAATACAATTTTTAGAAATTTAGCTTTACAGTTTTCTGCCAGTTAATTATGTTTTTTAGTTAGTTTTACACAAAAAATTAAACATCGTAAACCCTATCCCGTTTTGTCCAACCCAGGTATGCTAAAACGGGATATGTAAGAGTTTGGAAAATAATTTTTTTTTCTATTTCTCAGTCATTAAAATTAGTTTAAAATATATTTTTTCTGTGCTTCAATAAGTGATGTAGCTATAAAAAAATAATGTGTGGTTCTCTTTGACAGAGTTTCCGTAGTAAATAAAAACAATAATGGTATCCTGTTTTGTCCAACTTTCTCCTACGCGAAATTTTTATTTCCTGTTTTGTGATAGCTCAAATGTGTGCTTTTTGTAATGTATTAGAAAAATTTCATATTTAAAAGAGAAAAAAATCTCGTCCTGCTTACAAATTGACGATCGAAATGGGCTGCAGGTGGCGCATAGCAGAACTCTCGACCTATGGCAACACTTCGCATGCTTTCACCAGTAGCGTGTGGAGAGTCATAGAGGAAGAAAGTACGTCAGTTTCTCTCTTGATTTTCATATAGATTAAAATATTTTAAGTTGGAAAACTATATGGAACGGAGAACTATATTAGACGTAGTTCTAAAGAAAAGCATCACGGAAATTTAAAAAAATATTTTTATTAAATAAAAAGGGAACATGGGAAAATATCGTAGTACATTCCTATACAACTGAAAAGAGGAGGAGATGGAAGGGAGAAGGGCCAAAGGCATGAAACCGGTCTCTCCCCAGATGGCGTATTCAAGCGTTGCAATCCCCAATTCAAACAATGTCTTAGCGGAAAAATTGTCTACAAGACCACATGGAATAAAGACCTATAAAATCTGCCTATAAGACCTAAAGACCTATAAAGACCTGCGATTCCAACATATTTCACATTGTCTTTTCATTCGGAAATTATTGCTGCAGATTTCTACATGTTTTTTTAATTCATAATTTCCTTAGTTTTATTTTATTACGACGCTATTTTATAAACGTATATATTAGAATGAACTCTTTTGTATATTTGTCTTGTACCACTGATTTCCCTGCAGCTTATTTCACATGGTTTGTCTTTTGTTTCGTGGCAGTTATTGTTTTGGATTTTTATATCATTTTTAATACTTTGTCATTATTATACATGCAAATTTCCAATTGACCAATTAGTTTTTGACGTGATTGATTCCTATTTATATTCAATGCTTTCTTGTTCCTGTATTTTTTCTGTAATTAGCTGTCCAGCTCCATACACCTGGAAAGTCATTGAAAATCATGGAAATTCATTGATTTCGTCCTTGAACAAAAATTGCCATGGAAATTCATAATTTTCAGTGATAAATGCTAATAAAATCACGGAAACTCCCAGTTCGTCCTCGTATTGGAGCCCTTAATCATACCGGGCGATTTGAAAATCCTGCACAGCGATTTGTATTGACTTGATTTTAAAATTGCAAATTGTGATTTGCATTTGAATTGTTTAAAAAATAACGCATCATGATCTGCATTGATACGATTTTAAAAATGACGCACCGTTATCTATATTTGCTCAATTTAAAAATTACACCTCACTATTTGAATATGCATGAATTAAAAATCACACAGTTCGATCCGTATTCCTGCAATTTAAAAATTTCGGCAATAAGATCCATTTGTGCAATTTAAAAATTACTAAACACGAACCGCACTCATGCAATTTTAAAAAATAACTCAACTTAATCCATATTAGTGCGATTTAAAAATCATATCGTGCTATCTGTGATTTAAAAAATCACACATTGTGTTTTGTATTAACGTGAATTAAAAATCACACATCACAATCCGCATTCAGATTTTGTTCGATTTAAAAATCGCACATAGATATTTTTAATCACTATTTATAAATCATGCAACGTGATTTATATCGCATGATTTAAATATCAAACATCGCAATGTGATTTAGAAATCATTGTAATTAGTATCGTAAAAATCTCTCATCGTGATCTATTATATGAACAATTTATTATTCTATGTGAACGTGAAATGTTTAAAACTGTAAAATTTTTGTTAGTCTAATTTTTGACAATGCTGGTTTTGATTTAAAAATTTTTCAAGTTAATATTTTTTCTGTTTAAGAGTTGTAAGATTTAAAATGTATTTTTTAAAATTGTAATTGTAAAGTTTGTAATTTGATTTCAGTTGACATGAACTTTCGTACTTCACNTGAAGTGTTTGTGTTTAATTATAAGAGTTTTCTTGTATCTAATACCATATAACTTACTAAACATATTACGTATTAAGCATATATTTAATATCTTTTAATTTTTTATATGTATATTGAAACAGAAAATTTATTAAACAAATATGTTTTAAGCATAATAAATATTAAAAAAATTTTAGTAAAATTTAATTGCACAAATGATTTCAGTTTGAAAATAATATTTTTGTTTATGTTTGAAGTATTTTTTTTATTTAGTTTGAATTTCTCATTATATATATTTATTGCGATTTGATAGTACATGGAATAATTTTGATACTTTTGTTTCTTTGAAATTAAATTAACACAATCCCTAGAATTGACCTTTTGCAAATGGCATATTTGAATTTTATCAGATTAAAAAATTTTGGCTTTGTAAATGTTCTTAAGAGGCTTTATTATATATTTTTAAAATATTGCATGTTTGTTACCTTCAACTGCTGGGTTATTTTTTACTGTTATTCTTTGTTCATGTCTTTTTATTGCTTTTTGTTTAAATTGGTTTATTAAAAAAAGTGTCTAAGGCATTGCGCAGATAAAACAATATTATTTTTAAGGAAGAAAGTTGCACTCATTACGATCTTCTTTTGACTATATTGAGTAATAAAGTATTAACCTGCATAAGTCATGGAAAGTGTTTTGTCGAAGTCATGGATTTAAAAATTCTAGATTTAGCAGATTCCCTGTACTGATTACTACACGGGTTTTGAAGTGTCGCTTGCAAATTTTGCACAAACTCATTTCAGTATTTGATTTGCACTTTGAGTTATTGCTAAAAATGTCTATACTATTTTTAAAATCCCGTGTTTTTTTAATTTGGTTTCCAAACAGCCATGACTCGGTCTTAAATCCATATTAGTCTTTAGATGCTCAATCTGAGCAGATTTTCTCATAATTCCTTTTCCCGACAAGGAAGTGGTTTGGATTGTTTGTGCACAGATTTTAAAATCTTAATTTCTTTTCTTTAAAATACGAATTGACGCGCATTTTAACAGAAAAGATTCTAGTCTCGAAGTGAAAAGATTAAAAAATAACAAAAATGGAAAGAGTGTGTGCCTGTAGAAATAACAAACATTTTTTATAATTTTTTTTTATCACATGTTAAATATTCAATTTTTTTAAACAGATATTCTGCTTTGACTGAGCAAACTTCTAATCCTAGTTTTAATGAAAACAGAAGAGGAACTTAATAGTTTATTAATCTTTTGCTCCGTGGCAGAATCATAGCGACATTGTCGTAGAATGTTACAGATTTCTCGCCAAAACGTTTTTCTTTTGAAAAGTTAAGAATCTTACTTTCCTTTTCTACAGAAATTTGCACGTAATATTTGAATCATGCATTTGGATAATCACTTTTTTACGTGCTCAATTTTGGCCGATAGTAACATAAATCAGTGTAATATTTCGATTGTATTTTCAGCATTTTGATATTGATTTTCATGCGCTTTTTAAATTTCCCGATATATTACAAACAATATGAAAAAATTCGAATAGTGCATTTGAGTATTTACTTTTTAAGGCAATAGTTCTATAGAATTTTTGGCGGTTATTGCTATTGGTTTCTCCATAGTTTTTAAATCCGATATTTTTTAAACGATATTATTTATTACAACAGCCTAATCTCGAAACGAAACACGCGTTTGAAGAGTCCGATTCGTGTGATTTCGTCTTCTATCTTTTTTCGGTAATTACTAATACGGATTTCATGATTTTTTTTAAAATTGTGATGATTATTCACGAAATTTGATAATTTGGAAAAACGCACAAATAATCTGTGCTTCCCCCCTCCCTACAAAATACGAGAATATCACCCATAATGTCAGGATAAAGAAAAATTTCATGTTCAATTAAAAAAATATGCAGTTTTTATTATAAACGCAGCTCTTTTGTTACTTTAAATTAGTAACATATATGCTTGTTATTATTAAAAGTATCTTGCTGAAAGATATTAGTGCTAGACAGTTTAGTCGCAGATAACTCGAAAAAGTTCTGCCGCAGGGATCTTTTGTAGCATTCGCATTTCATCATGTAACTTAAATTCACCTTCTTTTTTTCATTAGATCTGCTGCATCAAGTCGTGGATCAAGTCATGGGCAAAATACGCAGCTGCCTCCTGTCTTAAGAAAAACTCCATCTGCCTCTAAGGAAGGAGATAATGTGATAGAGTCAGTGAAAGAGTTGGTTAGATATGGTACTTCTAGTGAGACTAAATCTACTGAAATGAAAAAGAATCCTGAATCCCAACTCAATGGCAAAGGAGTTGATTCAATGGGTTCGCTTATTTGTGATTTTTCTTATTTTTTATGTGTTAACTTTTTCAAAAGCTGTTGATGTTAGCAATAAAGTATTGGTTATTAACCTCTAACCTTTTATATTTCCAGAACTTACGTTGAAAGGTCCAGAATATAATATAGATCAGATGGAAGTTAAAGCTAGGCCCCTGGTTGATGAGTTTTTACATAATAATGATTTTGAGGTATGCTAGAGTTAACTTTCAGTCTTAATTTAGAAATATAGTTATAATTTTTCATTATAAAACTGAAAGAATGTATTGGGAAAGAATTTTCTCTAACAATTTAAATTTTAAGGATTTTAATTGATTATGTTAAAGATTTAAATGTTAAGGAACTAAGGTTTTAATTGATAGCTTTCTCATAATTAAATTAAATGGAATAGTGTTGTTAAATATGAGATACTCAATACAGTAAAAAAAAAAATTATTTTTTAAAAATTTTTTTTGGTGGAAAAGTTAGTTATCCCTTTCAGGGTGCTTAGCGTTTTTAAAAAGTGCTTGATTTTCCCGTTTTCAAAATGAGATTTTTCCTTTACCATGTTGATTTTCGCTACAAATTATGCAAAAGGACACAGTTCACATTGTTCTATTCAACGTTTTCACGATTAATTCAACCCCAATCTATTTCGACGTATAGTCAGTCGGTAGCGTATGAAAACGCCATTCGTTTCGCATGATTCAAAATTTCATGATTTTTGACAATGCCGAAAGTTTTTTAATTCTTTGACATGACGGCCGGTTAAAACAAAATAAAACCGACAATTGTCAAAAACTTTCCAAACTTGCCTAATTATGATATTTTTAAGTGCTTAAAAATATTTTTGAGTGCTAGAAAAGGGCTTATTTTTTGTAGAATAATTTGGCTACGCACCCTATCTTTGCTTACAATTTATTTTGAATTAGGATCCTTTCCTCTTCTTTTCTAATCTTTGAGAATATATATTTATAAGCCAATCATTTTTTAAAAACTTTTTTAGGAAGCAATCAGGTGTGTCACGGAACTGGCTTCTCCCAGTACGATTCATTTGTTCATCAATGCTGCAATCAACTAAGTCTTAGAGCGCTCTAGTCCAGCACGGCATTCCCTTGGCCAACTACTTTTTAACTTAGTCAAACAAAATATTATCACCTTCGATTATTATAAAAAAGGGTAGGTTCAGAATTTTTTTATATTCAATTTATTTTTAATTGATAATCAAATTGAGCATCAAAAAATTTTAAGACTAAAACTTTAATGTCATGCTTATGAACTATTTTTTACAGTAATGTCAAGTATTTCTATCTTAAATATTATTTACACAGAATTACAGTTAGCTTTTTTTTTCAAATGCATCTTTTCAGTACTTACTAAGCTATTTCCCTTTAAAGGCAAGGTGCACACAATTCTTATATACCTTTGAAACTCCTTAAGAAGTACTTGAAAGTACAAAAGTTGCAAAATATAGAGCTACTAAATACTCCTTAAAAACTCTTAGATTATCGTAATGCTAAGTTTTTTGTAACTAAGACAGGAAGAGAATCCTTCGCTTTTCTGCTAAAATACACCTGTTAGTGTAGGGGTGCACAACCTGCGACCCGCGGGCAAATGCGGCCCTTCGAATACTGAAGTGCGGCCCACGAGATCTTCTAAACACAATTTTTTTTTTTTTAAAATGTTAATTTTTAATCGCACTCTTAAGTCATCACGTTTTAACACAATCAATTTTAACAGATTCTTTAGTAAATGTACGTTTAACGCGCTTTTTTAAGCCGATTTTATCGTAAATATAAATGATTTTTTTAAACGAATATTTCGCTTCTCTGCGTGATTTCGAAAATCCTGAATTTTTATTACGACGCGAGTTTCAGATCGGCCATTTAAATAATCACTTTTAGGTGCACTTTATTTGTGACGATTTTATCTTTTTTTTTGCAATTCTTTATTTTTTTCAAAATTTTTTTCGTCAGTTATTGCTATGCGCTCCCACGTATTATAAAAAATTCCAATTATTCTATTAAGAAATGCAAATTTTAAATCGTGCATTTGACACGCTTTATTCGTGCTGAGTTCAGCATAAATATATTTTTTCCCAATTATTTCTATACTTTTCCACATGATTTTGACGATCCTGTTATTTAACTATGATGTTATTACGACACGTGATTGTTAATCACGCAATTAACTAATCACTTTTTGATACGGTATTTCGGTACAGTTTTATATTGTAAATCCTAGTTATTTTTCCTTCTTTTTTTTCCGCAACGAATATGATTTGTTCGAATGTGGTAATGAATTGTGATTTGGTCAAAAATAAAATATTCGGCAAAAAAAGAAGAAAAAAAATCGACTGAACGCCGTACACTTGGAGCCAAATAGCAAAATCTTTTAGCAGCATAACAACACTGAAACTAAAATTTCAATGCTCAGAATAATATTTCCAGGAGAAACGTATTCATAAATTAACTCTGAAATATAAGGCCAATCAAAAACGTTTGTGAAAATGTCGAAAATCGAAACAGAGAACATAAAAATCAATCTTAATTTTTGAAAGAAAAGTTTAAAGCTGAACATCTCAGTTTTCCAAATACCAGAAAAAGCCAAGAAAAAAGAATCAAGTCAACAGAAATGCTTTTAAAAAATTAATGCGTTATAATAAAAACGTCTAAATAAAGTTTTTTTTATTTAAAGAGAATAAAAAGTTAGAGAAAACGTTCTTAATTTTTTTTAAATGAAAATCTCAATTTAAATTTTTCTCATTGCCATAATTTTAGAAGAAAAAATATTGTTATAAAATAAATTTCATTAGTAACTTTATTTTTAAAAAAAATGCTGAGTCATAATAAAAATGCCTAAAAAATGAAAAACAGAAAACACAAATGTTTCTTAGTTTCTGATTTCACGCAAGTTTTGTAACTTGCGTGAAATACTGAAAATCACACTTTTCTATGTTACTGGTTATTTATATTACAGTACAGGGAAAGAGTGATACTAAATTAATAGTATAAGACATTCTGTTAAAATGCTGGGTTATAATAAAAACGGCAAAAAATGGAAACAAATCCTTCTCAATTCTCAAAGAATCGAAAAAATGACAAAATTGACTTGTCTGTTATTTGTACTATTTAATTGTCTGTTATATGTTTTTTTTTTAAAGTAAAATCTATACAAATTCAAAAATAAAAAAAACTTTGAAAAATACATTACTAAAAATTATTCTTCCGAATATTTGACTGATCATTCAATCAACTGAATTTTTCACAAAAGAGCCAAATACTCGTTACATCCCTAATTTAAATGCAACGTTATTGCAACTTGAGAAATTCATAAAGTGACAGAAAACGCGAATTTCTAAACTGCTCACTGTTTGTAGTTTAGATTTCAATTTTTTGTTGCTTAAGTGATCTTTTTCGATAAAAAGAAGGAAAATGTTTACGATATAAAAAAATCTAATAATTAATGAAATGAAATAATAAAGTGCATTACAAAGTAAGCATGGAATTTTATTTTGAACTATCACAGTTTTGTTTTTGTTTTAGGCTTTTGTTTAAAACATATAAATTTTCTTCAATTAAAATATTTAATTTGAATTTATATTACTTAATTATGACTAAATTTTTTTCTACTTTCATTCTGTGGGCATTGCAGTTTTCTTTTATTAATTAGAATTTAATTCTAAAATGAATTTTCCTATTGCATGATATGATAAAACAAAACATTTCTTTTCTTCAATGTTTATTTTGATAAATCTATTGTTCATATGATAAAAATAGCAATTTATTTTTTTTGTAAAAAATAAATAAATAAATAAGTTTTTTTTATTTTTGAATGAATTCTAATAATGGAACACCTTTAATTTTTTACAAATATATTACTTATATACAAATATATTAAGTTTATTGATAAAAAAAATAGAACGCTAATGTATAAATAAACATTACTACATTTGTCATTAACATGTCTAAATACATGTGCGGCCCTTTGTTAGCCAACCTGCTGTGCAAGTGGCCCTACACTCAAAATGGTTGTGCACCCCTATGGTAGTGCCAGGGTATCTGGCCACCATGAATTTTCGCACTGATCAAAATTTGTCATGAAATGTCAGGATTTAAACTATTTTTTTAAAAAAAATTATGGAAAGTCATGGATTTAGGTCGCCGAAAAATCTAATTTTTATAAACGGAATTCCCACTTCCCAATTTCACGGTGTTCCAAATATTTGAATTTCTAACAAAATCCCCACTCACAGTCATATTTTATTAAAATATGATATGTTTTCATCGTTCTCCTTAAAAATTATGGTGTTTTTTAAAAAAAGGAAAGAGAAAACATCATTTCTAGAGCGAATTATCTTATAAACTTCTGTGATTTCATAATTTTTGTTATTTATTATTTTTTTTTATCAATTAAAAATTCTAACTGAAGCAAGGCAGTCATTGGCGAATTTGAAGAACAGAAAAATCCTGAGTATTTCTTTCTTTTCCGATGAACAAGAAAAGTATTTCTAGAATATAACTCTGCAGAAAAAAAAAGAAAAAAAATTATTTGCTTTTGTATTTTTTTCACTTGTTTTATTGCTTCAACTCTTTCTTTACTCTGTTTTTTTAAATTAAAAATCTATAAGCATGCAGATGCAGAGTATAACAGTTTTGGTTATACCTATCATTTCAATTAATGTTATTACAGTGAATTCGCAATAACTCGAATCTGATAGGACTGACGAAAAACTTCGACGTATCGGAAGTTCGACTTACCGTTAGTTTCGGTTTTGGATACATTATAAAGTGGACATTTTTAAACCTATTATTAAATTTGTTGCAATATCTGCCAAAAATTTTATGTTCGTAGAAAAAAATAATTTAAGTTTAGAATTTATCAGAACATTGATGGTAGCTCAAGACCATGCAGTATGTCCAGTACATTAAAGTAAAATTGCATAAATTTAAAAAAAAAATTTAAATCATTTTTAAATAGTTAAACGGCCATGATAAATTAATACTTGTTTGCTGCATGGTTGATTTTGAAAGGGATGTAATGACATTTTTTGTTTTTCTTTTCTTTCCTAAGCAAGTGGGGTTTATGCATGTAATAAAATGTTAAGAGTTAAGAATGAAACTTTGTTTAAATTTTAAATAAAGTTTTTTCCTTTGAATAGAAGAATATTTTTTTTATAATATTTACTACGTTGTAAAAAATATATAAACATGCATATGTATAGCTGTATATGCATTACTGCCAACTCTACTGGATTTTGCTAGTTTCTACTGGTTTAGTAAAATTCTCCTGATTTTTGTACATTTTAGAAAATTCCCTAAAATTGAGTAAGTTTCATTAAAAAAATCCCTATCAAAATAGAATTTTGGCACAGATTATTGCTTGGTTGCTTGCTTGAATATTTAAATAAGTATTACTAATACATAATAAAATGAACCTCATTTATTAAAAATCAGTTCAAACTTTTTTTGTTCTAAAATGTTCAGTTTATTTTTAATCAGAATTAATTAAAACAAATCTTAACTATCTTTGATGAATTAACTGCCTATTAATATTCAAAATTATGAGTAAACATAATACATAATATTTCACGTACGTTTAATTTCAATCATAACTGGAAATTAATTTTGTGACTCCCTAAAATTCCCTATGTGTAAAATATTTAATAACAGAATTCAACAATTATCATGACTATTTCATCAAATCTACTGGATTTTTTCCTATCCATGTTGGCAGCAATGCGCATATATTAAAAGACTTAACATATATTATCGTTAAGTCTTCAAATCTTTGACTCCATTGATTTTTGTTTGTCTTTGTATGAACCCTGTTTAAAGGTGTGTTCAACTTTAAACTGTCTTAGGTGATTTATCTTCTTCTAATTCCTTTTTCATTATTAATTACAGTGCCCTGTTTCATAAATTTTTATTTCTTAGGTTCGAAGTTGTGTTGGAGTCGATAGATGAATTCGCACTAGATATCCCCATGATATGGGAGTACATTGGAGAGATCCTTGAGCCTATTCTAGAAGATAACAAATTTACTGTAGATGTTCTTAAAGATGTCCTAAAACCTTGTATTCCTTCCCCGACAGCTGGACTGTTGGTATCAGCAACCCTGCATTGTGCAGCTAAAAGAAGAGTTAGCAATCTGTTTTGTTATTTTTATCTATCCTAATTTTTAGCACATATTTTCTCTGTTTAACATAGAACCCGGTTACCTCAATAAGTTGTCAGGGTGCGTAGTGTTTTTATGGTGCTTATTTTTTATTTACGTTTTTTAAAAGCCCTTAAAGGTGCTTTTTTTTATTCAGGGTCTGTAAAAAGTGAATTTTCCATCTTTTAAGAAGATATTTTTTTTCTTTGCAGTGTCGATAGTCATTATAAATTACAAAAAATGTGTGATATTCACAATTTTCTCTGCGATATTTATTAGAAACTAGTTATTTTATCATGATTATGTAAAGTTTTTGAAAAATATTAAGTTTAAAATTTTTTTTTTATTAATTACAATCCAAGTTGATAAATTATTTAGATAACTAACGCAGCAGGCACATGTTTTGAAATTTTGTAAATTCTGAGGCTGTTGTTTTACTGACTTATGCTTATGGCTGTTAGTTACTGACCTGCGGTTTATACACTTTAAATTTTGTTCCACAGTCCGATTCGTTACAAAAGAATTGCTAAGTAGATGTATCTCAGATTTCACCCTTTTCGAATAATGGTTTCAAAATTCTTGTATATTTTTATGGTGTTCTAAATGTGCATTTAAGTAATCGCTCATAGGCACTCTGGATACACAAGAATTCCATTCTAAATCCATGTTGTGCTTCGGTATTTTAGTTAGCTGTTGCTACATATTTTATGATTTTTAAAATTTTCTTATAACAAAATGAAATTTGAACTGCTCAAAATATCGCTTTCGAAAGATGGTGTTGTAGAAATGAAATCTACTTTATTATAGAATAAAGCATGAACAATTGTGTCTTGAAAGTAAAGACTAGATTTTTGCTTTTAGAATGGTATAATGGTTGAACTTCACAATTTAATGCACATATACCACATTTAAATCTTGCAAGGATATGGTCACATAAAGGTGAATAATTAGGTATATGGAATATAACAGCATCTGATATGTTTTATGGCTGGCAGAGTTTGTTTAAGAATTCCTGGAAGTGAGAAAAAGATTGAGACTTATTTTCACTCTCTCAGTTGAGCTAAGTTTTACTAGACAATAACATAAATTGATTAATAACAGTAAATCGTTATAACAATTAAATTTGGTTTTGCTGATTGTTACTTGAGATTTTATTGTAGTGTATATGAATGGTTTGTTAGCCTGGGATGAAGAAAATTAACCGAAATTCTCAATTCAATGTAATAAATGTGTCCAAATTAGTTTTACGTTAATCATTGAAATTTCCTTTTTGATCAGGGAACTGTCAAACTTGGAGAGCTGTGGCGAGAATCTAAGCTACAGTGGACTGACTTCTTAGGGGATGATGCTAAAATAGATGAATTTATTCTAAAGCATGTAAGTAGTGTGGTTTTGAGAAACAAGTGAGAAAAGAAACAATTTGAAATTGCATAGTTGTGATGTATTACTTTCTTTTAGAAATTGGAATTCACAATTTGTCCTACTAAAGTAAAGTCTACCACACCAATGTCGATTGAAGAGATTGAAAAGAATCTCCTCGATTTGCTTGAAAAAACTGACGAAAGTGAAGAAATATTTGATTGGATAGATGCAAGTTTATGTATTTTATTTTTGAGTTTAAAATTTGACAATATAAGATTCGTAATGAGTAAAGGAATAAATAAGTAAAGCTAAATATGCATTTTTTTATTATTTATTCTTCATGACATGTTGGTTAAAGTAATAAACTTTTTGAATAATAACAAAATAAAGTAGTGAAGTGTGATGAAACAATATTAACTATTCATTAATTAATTCAATTTTTAATCATGTATTTAATAATTGAAAGAGAAAGCTGAAATAAATAGCTTTCTATTTTGCAACTTTCTAAATAACGTTTCATGATTTTTTTTTAAAAAAGAGGGTGAGAAGCCTTCTTGTATTAATTAGTTATATAAAATTATGAATATGAAGTGTGCTAACAAAAATGTGTACTTTTATTGAAAATCATTGATAGTACTATAAAAGTATAGAAATCTATTAAAAGGAGAACTTTAATGCTTTAACATATAATATAGAAAAATAAAAAGGTATTTATATCGTTCTTAGCAAATTTTAATGTTGGTGATATTTTCGTAATTTCATAAAATATCTCTCATGGCATAAAAATAATCTCTGTTTTTGGAAATGCCCAAATATATTTGAAATTTTTATAAATTTTCTTTAATTTTTTTTGCATATATAAGTTATGTTTTTATTTCAAAAAATAACAAAATATGTGCTATAATTTTTAATAACTTGATTCTGAAATTGGCCATGTTTCTCCAATTTTTCCATCAAAACTGTTTTTATGACTAGAAAAAGTATTACCGTCATTCGGGGCTACTTTGTGCAGTTTTTGAACTTTGACATGTAAAAGAACTATGTTAATTCAAACTTTAGTAAAATTTATCAATATTATATTCATAACTGGACTCAGACGAGTCAATTTGATCAATATTGGCATTATTTGTATGTAATATTTATGAATAATAAGTCAAAACATACCTTGCACAAAGTAGCCCCCAAATGGGGCTACTTTGTGCAGCGATAGGAATTCAGTTTAATAATCATGTTTTTAGTAAAATATTGATATAAAATTGTTAAAAAAGTTAATTGTTGACATTTTTAAAGACAAAAACATCAAGATATGTAAAGATATTAGTTTGAAAATAATTTTCAGCGTTAAAAAACCATTTTTTTTAAAGAATTTTTTCTTAAAAAGAATGTTTATTTCAAAACATTTGAGTTTAAACAAAAGGAAACCATATACATTTTTGAACATTGAAATGGATGAAATTTCAAAAATAATAATTATTACATATTCATTAACATTTATAATATTGATAAATTTGAACATAACATGCTTGAATGAACATGACAGAACTTGCTCTTCAGTTTCTGTCAAAATCACCTGATGTCCTATAAAATATATTTTTATGTGTTAAATCGTTTGATTAATTCATTAGAAAAATCTTTGTAGAAGAAAAATAATAGTTTACCAGGAAGTTTCACGTGTTTCTTGTGAATTTTATTAGAGATAGTATTTCTGTGGATTTTGTACTTCCGAGAAGCTTCTGCAATCGACATACCACCAGCAACTGCTTGCAAACATTGTTGCAGCTTTTCTAAAGTGTAATCACGGTAGTTTCTCGTTCCAGGTATTTTTTTATAACGTCTGACCATTTTTCTGTCGAAAAAAAAAACGAATGAAACTTTGCACAAAGTAGCCCCAAAGTGCATTTTTTTTCATTTTCCGTTTATTTGTTATTAATTTTCAAATTTTTTTAACGCTAACATGATATAATTGTTTATTAATATATAAATAAAAAATTTTGCACTTACGACAATTGTTTTATCAACGTCTTTGCATTTCACAGCTAAAGTTTCCACGCACACTTTTCGACATCCGACGTCCTCGGAAAGTTGTTGACATTGGATGAACGAAACACACTCTGAGATTGTTTTAAAATTCGAAAAAATGTTTGTAGTAATAGAAGAGACTTCTATCTTCAAATTCCACACATTTTTAACGTGAAATAAACATAATACTGAATAGCAGCACTTGAAAAATGCCAAATTCGAATTTGCACAAAGTAGTCCCCGCTGCACAAAGTAGCCCCGAATGACGGTACAATATCTGATAAATAAGATAAAAAGAACTTTCAGAAATATGTATTAAGCAAATTGGGTTTTATATTAAATCATTTGCTTAACTTTGGCTACCTAATACCAAAATAAATGCAATTTTTATGTAGTCATATATTTTTCAGCAGTTCTTTGTGTCTTATAATTATTTCTTATACTTTTTATTGAATTTTCCGTCTGCGATATTACGCACTCTATTATTAATATTACACTTTTTTTTCGATTATCAAGCTCTGCTCATGCATTATCTTACTTTTTCTGCTTTTTTTCCTTCCTATAAATTTATAATTGCTTTTGCAATGCTCTACTGGTTTAATTTTTTTCAGGCCAATGTATCTGAATGTACAGAACCTAAATTTATTCGTGCCTTGGTGTCTGCAATGCATAAAAATGCCATAAAAGGTTTTTTTTTAATTGTACATATCCCTTCAATTCTATTCTTTTTCTTTTCGAAAACTTGCTTAAATAATTTTTATTGTTTTAGATACTACTTCTGGGTGTAAATTAGATGTTGCAAAATTGAAAAAAAGGACTTCTATCCTGTACCGATATATAGATCATAATGAAAATCTAGAACTTCAAGCTTTATATGCTATTCAGTCACTAATGAATCAACTAAATCAACCTAAAGGTATTCATTCATTGATCCACTTACATGGCAATTTTATGACATATATCTTGTAATTTCATAATCTCTATAAAGTTTTACAACATCTTTGCCTTGCAAGATTTTGTATATTACGAATTATGTTCTGCATTTTTTTCCAATTTAGTTTAAGACTAACTTTCATTATTGAATAGGATATTGTTTCATATTTTTACAGTAAAATATTGCTTTGCATAATAATACCCAATATGTAGCCTAATTTCAATAATGTCTTGTTTCAAAATAATTAGAAAAATGCCATTTTTCATTCCATTAAAACTTTCACATCCATTTTTTCATTCCATCAAAACTTTTCTTTAGGCTGGGAAATTTTTTTTAAATATTAAGTTCTAAAACAGGAAATGAACCAGAAACAGAAAATGGCCATATACATGGCTTGACTTTATTAATAATGTAGTTGGCATTGCGGTTTTTTATTTTTCAAGGTCTTATGCAAAATATTATTTAATCTTTATTTATATATTTGCTTAGTTTGAACTTTGTTAAAACTTCGCGCAGTAAAAATTTATATCAAAAAAGATTTATTGAATAAAAAGTACGTCTGATGAAATATTTATTTTATTTCTAATGGTAGTGTGGATTGACTATGGATAGAAAGAACACAACTCAAAAGAACAAAGATAGAAATAATTAAAAACAGTCATTTCCTCATTCGACACCTTGCTTCCCAGAATCCCTCAGCAATAGTTGCTTCACGAAGAGAACTGCAATGAAGAACATGGTGGCAATCGATTACAAATTGTCCTCGACATATTGAGCAGTATGGATCAGAAGCCATTTTGAACCTGTATAAGTAAGCGACAAAGCCTGAACTGAGCCACCCTTCATCACTCACCCAGTCTGTGATGTTATTTGGCACGAAAACCTTCCATGTTTCGTTGGAATTTCTTTGCATCAGTTGCTTCTACAATATTGGTGAAAATTTCATTGGTGAAAATTTCATTGGTGAAAATTTCATTGCCATTTCATTGCCTTTAATTCCACAGTGAGAAAGGATCCCATTGGTGAGGACAGATTTTCCTATTGTTGTAAGCTATTGAGATAGGACAATTTAATCTATCACCAGAAGAGGGACTGTTCAGAGATTTTATTGAGTAAAGAGCATTTAATGAGTTGGAAAAAATGACAACATATATGAGTTTGTCTAGAAAGCATACCAGTTGTTCCACGGTGACACAGATCACAGTAATTTTGTAGATGTAGGCTGTTCTTTCATTATCCACAAGGATTGCAAAACACTCCAGAACAAGGTGGGTTGACAACCTGCTGCCCGAGGGAGATTCAGATTCTGAACACAGGGAATTTTTTTTCTTAAGAAATAAGAAAATTTGAATTGCAAATTTGAGTCATCACTTTTTAATACGCTCAATTTGCATAGATTCCATTGTAAGCCTATTTTGTNCCTGATGCAACTAATCAATCAGTTGGATCTCTATTCCGAGTTTACTATAGGAAAAATGAATTGTCTGTGCAATTTAAACAAAGTTATTCCCCGTTTTGTAAATTAAAAGAAACATTTGCAGCGTCTTATCAGAAGAAAAATATTCCTTTTGTTATTGAATGATTGATTTGTGCATTTGTTTAAAAGGGTTTTATCTTGTTAATTTATATTTAATGTGAACAATTGCTTCTGTGGGATGGTCATGTGACATTCTTCCTAAAAGCAGTGTCAGCCGTTTCATTGGTTTTGATCCACAATAAAGGATGAGAACCACTGAAAGAACAGGTTTGCCACTCCACAGGGAAAACCTGGAAAATACAGGGAATTTAAAAATCACCTAAAATAACAGGGAAAATACGGGGAATTTTTAGTTTTCCTGTACAGACTGGGAAAATACGGGGAATTTTGTTTCTTATTTTCGTCTTTTAAGAAATGGTGATCACTCAAAGCGCTATCTACGGCATATTTACGGATGATATTTCAGCTATACTAAACTATTTCATTTACTCTAGCATTATATTTGTTTTAAATATGTTCAGCTGTACCTTTTTTCTCTAAGTTTCTCCGTTCATTAAATTTAGTATGGTTAGTACAGTGTAACTCACACAAAAGCGCAGTGATAGTGTGTTTCCTCTCAATATATTGTGCATAATATCTACAGGAAAAACACAGGAAATTTGTTTCTTCTCCAGATTAGAATGGTAATCCTGAACCAATTATTTTTAAGACGCGAAAAGATTTTAGTTTTTTTCTTAATTATGTAAAATGACAAATTGTACATGATTGCAAATAAATAGACTAATGTTTTAAATTGTTTTACTTTTTTTAAAAATCGTGTATGTTGTCGTAAGGTTGTGCCTTTAATTATTTTTTTCGGCCATTTTGCTCAAGTTAAGTATCTGTTTATTTCTGTAGCGACATAGAGGGGGTTGATGTCAACAATATTATTTAAACTGTTAAATTTGTTTCCTGGCATTCTTTTTGTCCAACTGTTAAGTCTGTTAGCCACCGTTGAATTTTGATACTGTTTTTATGTTGAAAATAAAATAAACTTTGTAACTTTTACTGTTCTTATGAGAGATTAATGCAAATATTTTTAAACAAAATAAAAAGTGTATAATCAAACACTTAACAACATACTGTCACGAGGAAATAACTAGCAGCTGAGATGTATACCACAAATAATTTAATTTTAAAATACTATGTCAAATGTATTTCTACTTTATATTCTGAGATCAAAATGTAAAAAAAAAAGGACTGTAAATTAAGTCGCTGCAATTTTATGCAGAGTATTTTCTTAAAAGTTTATACAAGTACTTCTGTGACATATTTATTGAAAATTAAATACAACTAGAAAATACAAAAGAAATTTTTTCTTCGTCTGTAGAAGAGCCAGATGGTTTTTAACTTGCTGCAGTACTTATGTATTGAGTAATAGCAAAAAAACATATACAGGGTGTTTATGAAATCCCCGACCCATTTTGATGTTTAATAACTCATGAAATAATAAAGATAGATTAAAATTAATAACATAAATAGTTAGATAGACTCAAAAAGTTTCATGACCCTTGCCAATGAACTTCCACTTGTGCCCCCTTCGTCGCACGGAGAATATCAAGTCGATAGTCTATTTCACGCCAGGTAGCGGCAAGTATGTCTGCATCCACAGAGGCTATTGCGGTTGTAATTCTGGTTTTTAGGTCATCAATGTTCGACACGATCCTCCTGTAAACATTGTCCTTTATAAATCCCCAAAGAAAAAAGTCCAGCGGCATTATATCAGGTGATCTGGGTGGCCAAGGAATTGGACCTCCTCGCCTACAGAAAAGACGGTCTCATCAGTCGTATACTTAGACATGTTGGAAAACTTCGTATTTCCACAACTAGAAGAGCTTCAGTCACATGTCTTTTTGCAACAAGATGGTGCACCACCTCATTGGGGTATCATCGTTCGTAGTTCTTTGAATGACCATTTTCCAGGATGATGGATTGGGCGAGGATGTAATAGATTGATTGGGCGATGATGTCAAAATCTGGATCTTAACCATATTAAAATTAAATAGTTATTTGAACCTCACAAAATGGCAATCAAGAATTCAAATTTGCAATATTAACTTCATGCTTCAAACGGTTTTTCGAATCTTGATTCGACTTGGGTACTTACACTGCAAGAAGAAGAAGAAGATCCCAGTTACCCCCACATGGGATCTATGGACGTCGAAAGGAAATGGCGAGTTAAAGTTGAGCTAATTTTCTCCACGTAAGTAATGATGTTATTTAACGTAAAATTTATTAAATACACCGCCGTATCGCTCATCGAATTTGTTGGAATATCTTTTACTTAAGTTAGATTTATTATTTGTTTGTGTATTTTATTCTAACAGTGATATATTTTTGTTTTGTGTACCTGGCAACTTCGATGCGTAATTAGGTTGTTTATGTTTCACTTGACTTCGTGTTATGTACGAAATTTATTGCGAAATATTTGAGATCTTAGTGTAAGAATATAGAATGTGTCATTTAGGAGAATTGATACTTAACGGTCTTGGCTTACTCGAAATAGAATGGAAAAAATACTTGCTAACGTAAGCAAATGCCACGTTTCAACAACCAATCAGGATAGAGATACCCGCACTGCGTTACTTGCAGATATTTCATTGGATTTATGGCTAAAAAATCAAATGATTTTGAAGATTATGACTGCCAGTCGCATTCTCATTGGAGAGCGATATCATGTGGTAATAACATATATTGAATAACATCAAGTCAGAAATCTAATGTGCGTTCTGCTGCTTCCAAAATTGATGATTGAAATAAATTTAGGTAGAAAAATACTGAGTCGAGTGTTTGCGACTACAAAAAATTCAATCTTCATGCAGATATTAATTTTTTGAATGGTTTTCAATTATCTGTACTATACGTATATCATAGTTTCAAAAAACCAAAACTTTTACAACACGCTTTGAAATATCAATGATTTCTATGTTTTTAACAAACGTATTAAATAAATAATCTCCTTGACAACATGACACATTCTTGGAAAACAGTGATATGAAGCAGCATTTGTAAGATTTTAAAATTTGTCACAAACATCAAAATGATGAGTTATTATTTTTAAAACCACTTCAAATTGAAATGCTTTATTCTTTTACTTTACAAAGATAAATAGATTTAAGTAAAACATATACTAATTCACATAAAAAGGAAATATTATAAGGAAATATGCAAAGACGATGTCCTAATTTACTTAAAAGATAAAATTTTCAAATCCTTTGTATTCAGCTCATAAATACCGTAACATATTGGTAATTAAATGGATACAGAGTGTTTGTTGGTGCAAAATAAAACTTCGCAACACTCTATCGTAATTATCACTCTATTGATTAAAACTCATTTATAAGCTATCTTAAGCCCGACGTGGGTTCGGGCTCGTTTACGAAAAAAAAAAAAAAGCTTTCGAGTAGGCTCGGACTCATCATAATATTTTCATAAACTTTTTCACTACTTGTAA